ACACCACTGAACTGTTGAAGTGTAGACCTGTGTCCGAATCCTGATAATGGAACTACCCTGCGCAGCTATCCCCAGGCTGTTGCTTGCAAACTGTCCTTTGGGACATCCGTTAAAATTCGAATGATACAGAGAAGATTAGCATGGCCCTTGCACCGGGAGGGTAGGCATAAAGGCAGGGAGCAACCAACAGAAAAATTGTGGGCATTTTTTTTTGCGGTTTATCAAATGTGGGTCCCCCTTTTAAACTGTTGGTTTCGTGTTAATAAACAATTTGGCGGGGGTAGTGTCATGTGTTCCACCAAAAGTGAAGGAACTCAACGTTGATAACATATGTCATAAACATGCGACACTGTGTTCAACAATTGTTCGGTTATTGAAAAGCTGTTGAAAAGTTGTTGAAAAGTTGTTGAAAAGTGGTTGATAAGTTGTTGAAAAGTTGTTGATCAACTGTTGAACATTTCAGATATTGTTGGGAATATTTGAAATTAGAGAGAGAGAGAGAGAGAGAGAGAGAGAGAGAGAGAGAGTCATCTTCCCTCCCAAACTGATGATGTCAGAGAACTTACCCTGTGTAGCTCCTCTGAACCTTGAATGCAGCGCCATAGGCAAATGCTCGATGGATGTGAACGAAATGTTCGATGGTTGGCTACCGGGTGCCAATTTCCAGCATCATGCCCATGCATGACAAGAACATGGCACGCAGTAGTCAACAAGTCATGTACTTCTCGCCCAACATTAAAATGAACATGTTTTCTAGTGTCTGCCCAATACTGCTTTGTGACATTATATTCAACATATTTGGAAGTGCGTAATCCGTTTTCTGCTCATTTTTATCAAACATGATTCATGGTTTGCAAAATCATACGTTGACATATTTTGACCCACATTACACATGACGCATTGCGTATCTTTGCAAGACAAACAACAATGTGTACAATAAATTGATAGTGAGTAATAAGAGATAAGAAACGCAAATGCTACGTGATGGTCGAAACACATCCACGACGACGTCATGTACAAAACCATTTATTAAATAACACATGTTTGCTTATTGTACGCTAAACCCAAAGGGTTCTCAAGAGTCTTTTTTTTCCAAATAATAACTCTCTCTCTCTCTCTCTCTCTCTCTCTCTCTCTCTCTCTCTCTCTCTTTTTACACTTTGGTCCTCATTGGCTGTATGTCATGGCACTGACTGTCAGTGGAGGTGCAGCTCATGTCCCCTCCAACACCATTGCCCATCTCCCTCCCCACCCTGGCATTGTTCCATCCCCAACCCCCCTCGATCCACTTCCGGACCCCTTATTCTCCTTTTCACGGCCTTGCGCACAAACTTTCTCCGTCTCTCTTTCTGCCCGCACATTTGTCCATGGTGTGCGCAATGAACTCAAGGTCAAAATTATCATCTGTTGTAGTCATGTTATTGGCGTCTCCCCTCTGCACAGCAGGCAACCCAACTTTGTACAATGCGACGGCCTTGTCTGCAACAGAAACAGCACGATCGAGCTTGAAGATAGAAAAGCTTAAGACTGTGTCTCGGGAGTGGACTGATGCAACGATCTCTTTCTTGATAGCTGCAAGTTTCTGTATTTGGTCCGCTACTTTACTGGTCTTTGCCGCCTGCTCGACTTCACTTTTGAGTACCAGCTCCACAAATGCTAGTTGCTGCAACGTTACGCCAAGGTTGATTCCATCTCTTCTCATTTGAAAAACTTTTGCCAGTGCTGTCTTGAAAGGAAGAGCGCCCCACGGATCATTGTCGCTCCTCCATATTGTGTTTCCCTTCATCTCTGCCCGCATCATGTTGCGAGTCGGAAGTTGGTGATCCGTTTGAGCTAACCGGACCAGCGACAGACCTTTTTCGGCCCAAAACCAATGCTTCAATTGCCATGATATCTCGCCTTGGACCGTTGCCATAATCCGATTGCATTCCCCGATCACAGCTCGGATTCCGTTCGCTGCCACGTGCAACCGTAGTCCTTCCTCCGCATGTTCTCCTATCAATTTGGCAGTTGTTTGCAATGCCGTGAAAAAATTGTCCTCCGATGGGTATCGCATCCTTTGCTGCTGAAAAAACAAAGACCTTCGCCACTGAACGAAACAGTCAGTCTTTCATTTTCTTTGTTAAACCCCCGGTTTGTTGCTCTGATGGTTCGCCAGCATTACCTCCACCAATGCTGCTTCGTCTTTGCAAATTAGTACAATCTGGGGGAAAAAAAAAGAAGACCAGCAGATTGATTATTTAGTAATAAGAAGACCCTCCGCGATATGCGTTTTATGTATTGCATTCAGAAACAAACATAAGACCGCCACTCCCCCCCCCCCCCCCCCCCCCCCCCCCCCCCCCCCCAGTCAGTGAACCTGGTCGTTTCTACAGCACTGAAAACGAATGTGTTGAGCACACATAATTCATCAGTTCCGCTTTTTTTCATCAATTCCGCACAATTTGTTTGTCATTCGATGAAGTCTCTAGTGAGCCTGCCTTTTTTTCATCAGTTCCGCATTTTGCACTGTTTTCAGCAGATGTAATCTCTCTTTCTTCGTCTTCACTGTTGCCTTCCTCTTCCTCTTCGCCCTCCTCCAACAGAAAATTTCTTTGCATACAACTTCGGTTGACGGGAAGTCTAACTCTAAAACTTTCCGTTCAAATCACTACCTTTCAGTCTAAATCTATGAATTTCAATCCTACTATCACTGACTTCATGGATATTGGACTGAAAGATGTAGTTAAACTGAAAGTCTGGGATGAATTTTGAAACATCCAAATTGGACTGAAATGGTTAATTAAACTGAAATATGAAATTTGGACGAAAATTTGAACTGAATGTGGACTAAAATTCCAATGAAATTACTATATTTGGACTCCCATTTCACCTGAGTTATTACATTTTGGACTGAAATTCCCTTGGAATTACTAAACTTGGACTGAAATTCCTTCAAAATTTCTTGATATAGACGGACAGTAGATGTAGATGGAGATAAAACTGAAATTAAATAGACAGCCGCACAGACTAACAAACGGACAGACGGACTGACAAACCGACAAACAAGCAAACAGACATTCAGACAGACGGAGAGATTGAGTGATAGACAGACGTAGTAGACTTGTAGACGAACCAATGTGACAGAGTGACTGCATGACAGGCTGACAAACAGACAGACAAACAAATAACTGGACAAACTGATAGACACTCATGCAGACAAGCACACGGAAGAGGGTGACAAATTGTCAGATAGACAAACGGACAAGCAGACAAACAGAGACAGACACGCAGATAGGTAGACAGAGTGATAGATAGACAAACAGACAGACAGACGGACAGGGTGCCCAAGTGACAGGGTGATAGAGTGACAAAGTGACAAACAGAAAGACAAATTGAGAGGTAGACACAGCAGGTGTTGCTCCCCACCAATAGAGTGAACCAATTAGCGACAGGGTGTTGCTAGAGGGAGATGCTCATATCACCCCCTCTAACAGGTCAGCATCCGGACTGGGGTGACCAACAACAGGGTGCTACTACAAGGAGATGCTCATATCACCCCCCATAGCGGATTGGCGTTGGGCTTTTTCCGAAAAAGAAAAAGAAAAAAAACTCTTAGAGATTATTATCTAGGTTATTTTTTCGGGCCCTGGGCACCCAGGTTTTGCCCAGATTCAAGCCCGGTTGCCTGGCTGGGTACGACTCCCGGGCAGCGTTCCGGGCAGCCCCTGCGCAAAAAAAAGGAAAAAAAGAAAAAAAGAAAAAAAAAAATGTTGTGTAGACTTGCAATGTAAACAACTTATTGTTTATTTTTATTTTTTTCAAAAGGGCGACGGTCTTCAGGGATCATCATTGAACTGACCGACCCCAGGCAATTCAGATTGATTTTGCTCTCTTCATCTGAGGGTATCTGAATTCGAGCTTGAGTTTGTATTTCAACAGTTCATGGGTGTTCCAACTGAGCTAGGCCTGTTGGTATGCAAACAACTTTTGGTCGAGGGTCACATAGGAATTCCTCATTCAATAAAAGATAAAAAAGAAAATAACAAAATCAGACTAAGGTACCCCCCTTTAAAAAAGAAAATAACAAAATCAGACATAGGTACCCCTTTAGCCCCTTTAAAGCCCATTTATACCCCCCTTACTCCCTCTTGACAGCCAACACTCGAAAAAAGAAAAGAGAGCGGATTTCATCTCCTCTACAAATGCGAGGAAGTCCCCCACCTCCAAAAAAAAAAGAAGGAAAAAAAAGACCATACTTTTTCACTTGCCCAGGTACTCCGGGCGACTTGCCTGGTTGTCCGACCGGGCAGAAAAAACAACCAAAATCATTACAAAATAACCGACAAATTACAATATTGCACTGTAGACTTTACATCTATGTGTGCGTGTGTGTGTGTGTGTGAGTGTGTGTGTGTGTG